TTACCGTCAATTAAAATTAAAGGATCTCGGATTCCTTAAGTAGTTTTTTAGGAATCGAAGTAGCTAGATCGAAAGAGGGAATATTTATCTCCCAACAGAAATACACTTTGGACATTTTGGAAGAAACATGCTTATTTGAGGCAAAACCCGCCGCATTTCCCATGGAATAAAATCTGAAACTCAATGCAGACGATGAAACTCATCTTTACAACCCAAGCTCTTATCGACGACTTTTTGGGCACCTGATTTACTTGTCTCGGTGTTTCAACATGCAAACACCGAGACAACCTCATATGGATGTAGCTATGCGTGTTCTTCGATATTTAAAATCAAATCCCGGAAAAGGCATCCTCATGCCATCGTCAAATTCCTTGCAGCTCTTTGCATATTGTGACTTAGACTGGGCCAGCTGCCCTACTACCCGTCATTCTGTAACCGGATACTGTACATTTCTTGGAAACAACCCCATATCTTGGCGAACCAAGAAACAATCCACTGTATCTCGCTCATCTGCCGAAGTCGAGTATTGAGCCATGGCCACCACTATGTGTGCACTCATTTGGCTTAAAAATCTCCTTCAAGATTTAAGAGTTCCACATTTACAACCCATGCTCATCTACTGCGATAATCAAGCTGCCTTGCACATTGCATCCAACCCTGTGTTTCACGAATGCACCAAACACATAGAGCTGGATTGTCATGTTGTTTGTGAGAAGTTACTTGCAGGCATCATCCAAACTCAATATCTCCAAACAAGTAATCAACGAGCAGATATATTAACCAAGCCTCTCAGAAAGAGAAAGTTACTTATTTACAATCCAAGTTGGGTCTCATCAACTTACGCACACCAACTTGAGGGGGAGTATTACGGCTAGAGACTCGGTAAACGTCAGTTTACCATTTCCTTCCCAGCCCACATTTGAATGAGTCCTATCTCATTCAATTTGTATTGATGTATAGATCCCTACAATTAATGGATTGCATCCTTTAGGATTTGTATTGTTGTATAGATACCTACAATTAAGGGTTCTCCACCTCTTATATTCTTGACAAATACCCATTTCTGGGTAGTACGTATTATTGAAATTTTTGTTTCTATTCTAATCGCTCCAAATATTCACAGTATTCGTGCATCATGGATTCAGATTAATTGTGATAAGGAACATTATTTTCCATTTAATTGATTTAGGTATCACTAGAGGATTAGCAAATTGATCTTATAAATTCTAGTAGTGGAAATGAGGTCCTCGTCTATATCGGAATCGAGTTCCTTGACTTGTCTTTCAACGCCTTGTATTGGAATCGAGATAACCATTGACCATAAAGGATGTTCCTCTAATATTAGAAAAATAGAAAGCAATTCAAGAGACTATAACCAGAGTTACCTAGGATTGTGGAGGATGGGAATTTTGAACGAACGCTATGTGAGGAGTTTTATCAGAAAACAAGATATATTTTTATTTGCTGAGTTCACAAGGGGCTTGACCCATTGTATTAATGTGTGAAGATACCCATTGTATTAGTGTGTGAAGAAGACATATCCTCATATCTTTTTCCTACCCCACCTATTTCAGCCCAAATGTTATTTTAGAGCTCTAACAGTGGGACCATTTTAAAGGGAAGAAAACTATGAAAAAAATCAAACTATATAGTCAACTACAAATTACAAACTATAAGCCACAAACCCATTTTTTGTTTCAATGGTCAAGGTCCATTACTGAAATTGGGTATTTCATCTGCATCTCCACTATCCCTAGTGTTTAATATAGCTATAATCGCCATCATCAGTTCAGATTATTCATTCTTTGAGGGAGCTGAATGGAAGCAACCATAGTCTCTCAACCGAAAAGAATGGACTTAGCTTATTTGTCTCATTACGAATTTAAAATCAAGAGAAATCTTTTTTCAAATATGGTTTTAGTTACCTTATTTTGTGTTATAGCTATTTTGCAAGCTAGTCTAGACTAAGCATTTCCTAGATGTGCATCTTCCTTTATTTTCTAGAGGAAGATCGATTTCTCAAAAATGTTCTGAAATGAGGAGATGGATTTCCATCTCCGATAATGTTCACAGCCCCTAAATAGGGAAAATAGCTGACCTTCCTGGAAATTCATTCTAGGATATGAATTTCCAAGGAATCAAAATCGGCCCAAAGATTTAGCGGATGGCGCATTTACAATTACATCCACCTTATTTTGATCACAGATGTGCAGATTTTGAAGTTATCTGTCACAAATGTGCATATTTTGAAGTTCACATAGAACTTGTCTTGCCTCAACACTCGCGAAATGTGACGAAGATGAGTAGGGTGCAATTCACCATCAGTACTGCACACAATGATGTCATAAAAATAAACAACAACAAATTCATTCACCAATATCGGGAGAAGATACAAAGATACAACAAATTCACCATCCGTATCGCGATTTGATGTACCCACTCCTTAGAACTATTTTGAAGAAGATATAAGCATATTATAAAATGTCAAACAAATGATCAAGGAGAAGTATAGGAAAGCAGTTCTTTATGGCTATTATATTCCATATTATCAGATTCTATTTTTTCCCCCCTGAAACGGCTGAAGTCTTCGACTTCAAGTCCTAAACCTGAAAGGAATATATCAGTAAAATTTTACAGTAGCCTTATATACATAAAATAGGCCATAATATACAATATTTCAGAAAATATAACTCATTATATTCAGAATTTTATTGAACAATCCAAAGACTTTCCCCGAATCTTTTGAAGCAATGAAATGCTCTGTAACAAATCTGATAAATTATCTGATAAATTGATTCTATTGATAGTGCTATTATCCATGCACATACACCATGAAAAATATTCAAAAAATCGCAAGAGGGCGCCTAGGCGTTTAGAGGACCTGACCACCTAGGCGGTTGGGCAGAACATGGACGGTAGGGATGCCCCAAAACATAATACATTATAGGAAAAAAGTCAAAACCCTTAGAATTTTTTTATAAAATATAATGACTAAAATACCCCTTGAATCTTTCAAAGGTATTTTTATTATTTTATTTCATTGAAAATATTTTTCTATATTTTTCGTAAGTGCGAGTTTAAGAGATGAGTGGATGTCCAATGTTTGGTGTCAAAATAATTTGTATAAAAAAGATTAAAAATAAAATAGCATAAAGAGATGACATTGTGATTGGGGGGTCATCTCAACCGTCCATTCAGAATGGACGGATGGATAGAGGGAACTATATAAGTTTTATATAGTAGGGAAAACATGGAAATCTTGCCCCTAATTTAATAGGATAAGAATGAAACTCAAGACATTGTGTTGTTGTACCATATCCTCCATGCTCACCACTTAACCCTTGGGCTTGTTCCAATCTTTTCTTATGTGTTTTTTCTATTCATTCAATGAATGAGCTAGACGTCCAATGTGGTTTTGTCTTTCATTCTTTTTTTTTAATTTTTAAATTTTTTTTAAGTCAAAGACATGTCTAGGTGTGAAATATTTGAACCAATCTTTTGCTTAAAATTGACAAATGGGGCTCGGGCTTTCGATGTAAGAGCCCCACCACTTGTCTTTACTTTGAATCTAAGACTAATTCTAAAGTGGCTCGGTTCAACCATCCAATGTCGGAACCCATATTTTATTAAAAAATTAAGCTTGCTGATTTAGATATTGGATGTTCAAATTAAAAGTAATTTTGAAAATAAAAACGAAAAAGAAGCACTTAAGTGTAAAATATAAAGCTAAAAGATTTCAAGATTCGAGGTAGCATACCGTCCATTCACTCACTTGGGCAAAAGCCAACCTAGGAGCATTTTTAGGACCTCAAATTTTGGAGATGTAACCTCTTCAACTTACATGCTATGTGCTCAATAATTTGTTTTTGAAAATGCATTCTCTAAAGGCTTGAAAAATAATGCCTCAAGATTCAATAGAAGCCATCCAATTTTTTAAGTGTGAGATCCTTGAGGCAATAGAAACCATCCAATTTTGGAAGAGTGACATCTAATTGTTGGATGACTCAAAATTAAAAATTTTCTTTTGAATAATATCATCCTGTGTGTTTTAGGTGGTTCCCAAAATTTCGTATGAAAAAAATCTTCCCAAGTCAGTCTTCTAGCCAAGGGAGTAACTCTATAATACGCACTTAAATCTAAAATCCTCTGGACAATGAGGAAAAAATTATATAAGTTTGCAACCTTATGCCACAGAAGTAATATGAGCCTCAAAAAAGTGGCAAAACAAAGTGTTTCAAAGTTGAAAAACCTTCCAATTGGTCATCAGCCTCGAGATGTATAGATATAAAGAACAAAGAGAATTTCATGTCTTGAAAATAGTGTATCTCGTGAAATTTATCAAGATAGTTTGTTTTCTAGATTTTTCAGTGTTTATAAATCTACTTTATGTGCACTATTTTTTAAATTTTAAATTTTATAATTTGGATTAAATATAGATTTTCAAGTAGTAATAAGGTTTCTCTTCGGACAAAATTTAGTTGTGATTTTTATTTTTGTAGTATAAGATGTGCAGCTCATACAAACCTCACTCCCTTTTTATAAAGTTTTGTAGTAATTATTTCATTTGTTTTGCCATTTTAGCTGATGACATTGCATATGGGAGCAAGTAGCAGCCATTTCGTTGCAATCGTCTTTGTGGTGTGGCGTGTAGCCTTTCATTTATCAATGCAAAAATGAAACGACTCCCTCTCTCTCTCTCTCTCATTCATGGAGCATGCCGCCTCAATCTTCTCATAACCCCCATTCATAAATAAACACCAGACCAGTTCTAAATCCCCCACTACCACTCCCAATCCTCCATTAATCTCTTCCCTTTCCGCCTCTCTCCTCAACACGAAACTGCTCTTCACCCCCTATAAAACCCGATCACAATCTAAAGAAAACCAGGCTCTCTCTCTCTCTCTCTCTTCAACAACCCAAGAGTAAAAATGGCGAAGTCTCACGTTCTATTCTCAACCTTACTCATACTAACTGCACTCTCTCTCTTAACCTGTGCAAAAATGGCGGTTGGGCGTCCCATGGGTGTAGAAGAAGGGCAAGTAGGGAAAAGGTCTAAGGAGCAATGGCAAGCCATGCTCAGTGGAAGTGTAGCAGGAGGGTTAATGGAGTGCTGGGACGCTCTTAGTGAGCTGAGGGCTTGCTCCACTGAGATCATCTTGTTCTTTATGAATGGTGAGGCTTACTTGGGCCAGGGGTGTTGCATGGGTGTCCGCACCATTACGCACCACTGCTGGCCCTCAATGTTCACGTTACTGGGCTTTACTGCCGAGGAAGGCGATATTCTCAGGGCCTATTGCAACGCCGAGGCCCCGCCGCCTGCCCTGGCCTAGGGTGAGGAGGACCGCCAACCACACACTTGATGCCCCCAACTTGGTTTTTGTTGTTGATGTACTTTTTTTTTTTTTTCCTTTTATTTTTTTTTGGTGTTTTGGGCAGTGTTTTCTAGACTCCTCGTGTTTTTTGTTATGCATGTCGAGAAGTGCTTAATGTTTTTTCTGGATCGTTTTCTTTTATGGAGGGGTTTGGTTTTTTGATGGGGTTTGCTGGGATCTTTAACTCCAGTTTAATGAGGCTGGGTCTCCAGGTTGTTGAGAGGGAGAAACTTTTGTTTGAACTTCGAAGTTGTAAGCCCATGGCATGTATTTTGTGTGAAAGTGAATATAGAATGAGTATTTGCTTGTTGAAAATTACTATATTGCTTTGAAGTGGGGACGTTCTTCTCTTTTTTGTATTGTCTCCATTAATCAAAGGATGCGGTGAGCATGAGGGCAAGCCGGCATATGTAGCAATGAGGGCTTGGCAATAAATATGTGTTAAAAATATAATTTTCAATATTTAGAGAATATATAATCTTTAATATGGACATCGTGAATATGAAAAAAAAAAAATTAAAATCTAAAAATAATAATTATATTAAAAAAGCATTTGGACCGATAGTTGCAATTGTATTTAGGTGGATCACCTATTTGCATCCATTTTTAATATGGATGCTTTATACCTCTGAACTGCATATTGTATAATTGCGGTCTAGCCCGCATAAAACAATTGTCCTTAATTACATTGCAAACTCGACTTTACAAATTAAAACTACCTGGTTTCATGGCTGGCATCTTTGGGCTTCTTACTCAACCATGTAAGGGTGGCAATGGGGTGGGCCTGAGTTGGGCCAACCTTGGCCCGACCATTTTCTTATGGGGCAATCCAAGCTTGGCCTATTCCTAACAAAGTTGGGTCAGGATGGGCTGGGCCAAAATAAATAAAAAAATAAAAGAAAACAAAAGGCCAGGTGGAACTACCCTGCCTAGGCCTCAAGCTACAAAATGTGGCTCAAGCCGTACTTTTTAAGGGCCAGACCAGGATGGGATGCTTAGCCCATTCTTTTGAGTAAGTGTGAGCTTCATATTTATTGGTAAGGAGAGAAAAAAGGAAAAACAAAAGAAAAGGAAAGGAGAGAAAAAAGCAAAGACAGTCCACAAAGATGTTGGTATGTGTGTGTGGCCATGAGGGAGGCTTCTTAGAGAGAAAGAGTGCTGTTATCTAACGACTAGAAATTAACCACCCATTTTTCAGGATTACAGGGCCACGTTTTCTCAGAGATTTAAAAAGGAAGCCGAACGTTGGAGAACGGCCTCCTCCATCCTTCTTTAAGAAGGGTTTCATTGCTATGGAGAGGTACACAGAAATTTACAGAGTTCTCATAGTTCTGGTAAAAGCCCGATATCTACAATCGATAGTCTCATGACACTGCCTTTAATCCTGGGAGTGGGTCCATCTCTTCCCTCAAGTTTTTCAGCATTGGTATCAGAGCAGGTTGTGGAAGCATGGTGGGCTCATAACCTACAGTTCCCAATTTTTTTTGGTATTTTATATCTTATTTTTTTCTTAAGTTTAATTTACAGTAACTTTGATATTGTGCTTTGTTATTCACGTATATCTTACTGTAAATTTTTTCTAACTTTAAATTTAATAGTTTGAATTTATTTATTTTATTTTATTTTATGAATTTCTCTCTCTTAATTTACTGCTCCTCATTTGCGATTCAGTGTTTGCTATTACTAGTATTGTTGGTTTTAGAATATGTTCTCTCCGTAAATTCTTTTGCCATATTTTCTCTCTGTAGATTGCGTTTAGCTTTCGTGATCATAGCGTACTCGGATAAGTCCTCTGTTTAATCTATTCTAGAGAAAAGTTAAAGAGATAGAGACGCTAGAAGAATCATCAAAAGAATAGGAAGAGAGAAAAAATAAGTTTAAGGTTGTTGCAGAAGAGTTATCTTGACTTAGCATACACCTCAATTTTAGGTTCTCTCTCTACGCCTCAATAATAGCATACACCTCAATTTTAGGTTCTCTCTACGCCTCAATATTAGGCTCTCTCTAGAACAAGTTGTATAGTTATTTTATCTCTCTATAAGATCAAGTTGCTGATACAGTACATACTTGAGCCCACGGTCAAGTAACAGAAAATAAGGCAAATAATTCTTCTCTTTATTTTTCTAATAAAATTAATAATAATAATAATAGTAATTTGTAAAGACTGCCCAAAAATTTTCTTCTCCTCTATGAACGGTAGCTGAGCATCTAAATTTGCATATTGTTATATACTTTTTTACTAACCATGGACTGCTGAAAATCAGACAGTTGGCATCTTCTTTCTTCCATCTTTTTGTTGCTGAAAATTAGTGCATATTTTTTTTATTATTGAATCTTATTATGCACGCGCTAATTCTATTGGAGTAAAGGCTTACATAGCAATTGCATGTTTTTTTTTTTTTTTTTGTGATCTATAATTCAGGGATTTTCGACATATTTTATTTGCATAATAATTGTCACTGCATTACATAATCATCCTATGCTTTGGTCTCTTTAAGCTAGAAAATTTCATGATCTTGATTTTGTGAATTTTTTTTTTTTTTTTTGTTGATTATGCAATGCCATATTTTTTGTTGAAAAATATCAAATACCATTGTAGACTCTCTATCTTGTGCTAAGACATATTCACATATTTATGAAAATTATTATTATGCAAGATTTGACATAAAGTAGTTGTTGTCTTACTTTATTACTTTTTTGTTGCATCACAGCAGTGCAAACATAAACTGTTCGAGAAAAGAAAAATTGGATATATTCTTTTTCAAGATAGGGTAGATTATGTCCTAGAAATAGAAACATCAGTTTTAGAGCCTAATGCCAATCGTCTAGCCAGAAGGTGACTTGAAAAATAGTTAGAAGATGACAAAGTAGCTAGGACTACTATGTTGAGCTTTATGGAAGATGATTTAGTTAATGTCTTTGAGGATTACACCACAGCTTAAAGTTTGATAGTTTGAAAAGTATGGGACCACTTCTGAGACCTATGTACAATTGTTGTTAGAAAAATATAATTTTTACAGAATGAAAGAAACGGACTCAGTGACCGAGCGTGTCAATAAAAAGACAGTGCTCGCAAAGGACCTTGCTGCAGCGGGGAATCCAGTTCCCGATCGCATCCAAGTGTCCATTGTCCTTAATAGTCTCCCTCCATCTTGGGTGTCTGTTGTAATTGCATTGAACCATTATGCACAAGGGATAACCATAATAAATCTTCTCATGCATCTTAGTATTGAAGCTGAGAGAAGAATGATGAAGAAGTCAAATGAGCTCCACTTTGCCCAAAGTTCATCTTCTCAGATCCCCAAGAAACCTTTCAATTATCAGAAAAATAATAGGTATAAGAGAAATGGGAGAAATTTTAAAAATCAAAAGAATAAAGTTGAGAAGACCTATTTTTATTGTAAGGAAATTGGGCACATCAAGTTTAATTGTCCTAAGCTAAAACATAAAAATAGGAACAAAAATAACAACCTTGTTTGAAATAATCAAAATAAGAGAAAGGACTTGATCTATGTAGTCTTAGAATCAATAGTTGCCGATCATGACCTGAGAATTGGTGAGTCGACTTAGCCTCCACTCGACATGTCTCGAGGTCCAAGGATGGATTTATAGAATTGAAAGAGATTGCAGCTGGTAACCAGCGGATTTATATGGGAAATGACCCCTAGTGCGATGTACTAGGTGTTGGTACTTTCAAGCTGTGTTTATCAGGAGAAACAAATCTCTTATTGACTGATACATTGTATGCGCCCAATATGATACGCAATTTGAGTTTTGTCCCAAGGCTAGATGACAAGGGTTATGAAATAAGGTTCAGGTCTGGTCGGGTTACCATTGGGAAGCACTCTAAAGCTTTGGTGTACGGTACTAAAGTTGAAAATTTATACTAACTGAATATTAAGGAAAGTTCATCATTTTCTGGTTATATTGATGCTTCTTTTGATGCTTGTATGTGTATGGATGATCTATATTTATGGAACTTAAGATTAAGATATATAAATAAAAACAAAATGAATTAAATGGTTAAAAGAGGCTTGCTCCCTAATTTAGAAGAAATTTGTGTTCAAAACATGCGAGCCATGTATTTATGATAAATTAACTAAGAAGCCTTTCCCTAAAGGGAAAAGGTCTAATGAACTACTTAGTATTGTTCATTCTGATATATGTAGCCCATTAAATGTGAAAACACATAGAGGTATAAAATATTTCATAACATTTATAGATGATTATTCACGTTATGGATATGTATACCTAATTAGCAAGAAATCTGATGCATTAGAAACATTTAAAGAATATAAAGCAGAGGTAGAAAATTAGTTAGGTAGACATATTAAAATTCTTCGAACAGATAGGGGAGGTGAATATTGCTCCGTCTTATTTTCTGAATTTTGTAAGTAGCATGGTATAATTCACCAAACAACTATACCAAATACACCACAACAAAATAGTGTAGTTGAAAGGAGAAATAAAACTCTAATGGACATGGTTAGTTCTAGGATGAGCCATTCAAATTTATCACCTCATTTTTGGCGTGAGACTCTCAACACTGTAATATATATCATTAATAGTGTTCCAAGTAAATCTCTAGACTTCACCCCATATGAATTATAGACAAGTAGGAAATATGACCTTACTATAGTGAAAGTTTGGGGTTCTTGGGCATATATGCTTATACTACCACCAAATAGAGATACATTACAAAGTAAAACTATAAAATTCTCCTTTATGGGCTATTCAGAAAATTCTAAAGGGTATAGATTCTATAACCATAATACTAGATCATTAATAAAGAGTCGTGATGCTCATTTCTTAAATAATATAGATAATGAAAATATTTTAAATAAGCCTATTGACTTACATGAAATTGATAAAGATAAGGGTCTGGAAGACCCTGTTTCTCAGACTCCCTCTACATTTGATGAGAATGATTCAATTGAATCAAGTATACCAAATAAGCC